TCTTAATTGACGAGACCGCGCGGCTTCTTCGTTTCTGTTGTTCCATCGTTGCGCTTGCCGACTGCATACAAGAACAAAAACCACGTACGGGACGAGTATGCAGTCCGATTACTCGCTGCCAGATCAATCAGACCTCCTTGGGTTCTTTTGAAACTGTGTTTTGTTCTTATTTTTTTTATTTTCGTTTTTTTTCTCTTTTTTTTTATTTATTTATTTATTTATTTGTTAACCGATCTACACGTATACGCATATTTATGTATACGTGCGAGCCGTCGCTTGTAAATGTACTTGATCTTGTCCGTTCGGGAACGATGAATTTTCTCGTTTGCAACCGCGATTAACGATCGAGGATGATCTCGATACCGAGGTAATTGTAACGGATCAAATATCTTTCGGCGACGGTGTGCAAGATCATATACGTATATCTATATTTATACATAAATAACGTTGTTACGTTTTACACGTTCCAAAGTGTGTGTATGTGTTTGCATGCGTGAGATACGTTTATAAGCTTACCATGTCGCCCCCTCCCCATTGCCCCCTTTATTCGACTTATGTTTTAATAATGACAATTGCAGATCGACCGACCCGTCGGTAAGGGGTCGGCTTTTTTAAATCTTTCCCATGTACATCGTAAGAGAAGCACGTTAGAAGTTAAGGGATCTTTGAGTCATTGATCATTCGAAATCATCGCGACCCTGGATTGCCGACAAGCGACCGATACCAACGTTCTGTTTGCAAATCATTGTAGCAAGCGGTCGAGGAGAAGTACAAGCTATGCGACGAGACCTCCTCGAAGCTGCTGCAATGGATCGCCGAGGTCGAGGACAAGCTCGCCGGGCAGGATAACGTGAAGGAGGATGTTGATCAGCTTAGGGATCAGATGAACGCCATGAAGGTACGAATCGAAGTTAAGAAACCTATAGAATTTATCTGTGATCGCAACACTTCAGCTATGAGTCGTCTGTTCTCCGTCTCATAATATTATTCGGATAATATCGCGTACTATCGCAGTTGAAAGTTTGCTTCATCGATTATATTAGTATGTAATCATAGGTAGTTTTACCGATTTAGACGACACCTTTATTAATACACTAATGTTTCCAGGAGATCAAAGATGACCTGGAAGCCCACGCCCGTCCGATCTCCTCGTGCCTCGACCAGATTCGTCAAGTGGTGCTCACCGGAAGCAACGTGTTGTCCAGCGAGGAAGTGTCCACCTTGGAGAAGAATGGCCGGTCTTTGAAAACGAGGTTCGACAGAGCCACGGATCGCACCGAGAGGATGGTCAGGCGCCTGATAGCCGCCAGGGACGAATTGATCAAGTTCAAGTCAGTGTCCTGAATGATGAAGCCATCATCCAAATGTAGTTTGTTTATTTTTACCCATTTTCTAACAATCTATTTCCGTAGGAACGAGATATCGACCTTCTCCCACTGGCTAGACAGCGCGAGGCGAATCCTGGAAGAGAAAGAGCACTCCCTGTCCGACTTGAACAGACTAAGCAGCAGCACAGATGCTACCAGAGACTTCATCAGCGACGTGATAGCCCATCAAGCTGACCTGAGATTCATCACCATGGCTGCGCAAAAGTTCGTCGACGAGAGCAAAGAATTCTTGCACGTTCTGAACGAATTCCGTACCAGTTTGCCTCAAAGATTGCCTCACAAGGAGCCCATATCTAGTCAGGACTCTCCTGTGCGGGGTGAAGTCTCTATCGTTACTGCTCAATACAAGGACCTGTTGTCGAGAGCCAACCTCTTGTCGGATAAACTGTCCGGAGTTGGAGGAAGGCAGAGGGATTACCGTGAGTCCTTGGAGAAAGCGAGGAGGTGGCTGAAGGAAGTCGAACCTAAGGTTCACAGAGCCATTTCCGAGGCGATCGCAGCGGAGCCTAAGCAGGTGGAGGAGCAATTGAGTAAAGCAAAGGCATTGAACAACGAAATGCTTGCTAACGAACGCCTAGTGGAGAATGTGAAGGTCAGCGTTGACGCTCTTCTGAGATCCTTGGACGGACAGTTGACGCCTAAGGAAGTCGATGAACTGGAAGAACCTGCTAGAGCTCTGGAAGACAAGTACAGGCAGCTGACCAACGCGATTGCCGAGAAATGCCAGGAGCTAGACGCGGCTCTGGTACGCAGTCAAGGCGTTCAGGATGCTTTGGACAGCCTCGTGCTTTGGTTGAACAATATTGAAAGCCAGTTCAAGTAAGTATAGAGCTAAGAGTTAAATAATTCAGGATCTAAGTGGGCAGACATACATGTGTACTGTTACTTATTTGTAGGAACATCCAACGCCCGGCGAGTTTGCAGAAGGAGCGGCTGGAGGAACAACAGAGGGACCAGCGTCTGCTTCAAGCGGATCTGGACAGTCACCGTTTAAGCCTGGAAGCCGTAGCAACCAGCGCGAAAGATCTTCTGACTAATTCCAGCAACGCGAAGATCGCCAAACACATAGAAGGCAAATTGAAGGACGTCCAGAGCAGGTTCGAGAAGCTGATGGACAAGTCTCTTCGTCGCGGTGAATTCCTCGACGAGATTGCACAAGCATTGGGCGACTTCTTGGTGGAAACCACGAAGTTCGATAGCTGGTACGCTCACATGATTGAAGCACTGGAGTCCAGAGACTTGAGTAAACTGGATGTCGCCGAGTACGAGACCAAAATGGCGAATCTGATGGACAAGCGGGAGGATCAGAGACCCAACTTCGAAGACCTTATATCCAATGGCAAGAAATTAATCTCCAAGAAAGACGTAACGGATGTCGCTCCGATCAGAGATAAGATCAAAGCTCTGGAAACCCAGTGGAAGGAAGTGAACAACTTGATCGACGAGAAACAACGGCTCAGCAAATCCAGGGCCGAACAGCTGTCCGCGTATGAGAAGCTTCGTGACCAGGTGATCGACTGGCTAACAAGGACCGAGAACAAGGTCCAGATGTTAGAACCTGTGGCCGTTGACCTGGAGAAATTGAAGCGACAGGTCGACGAATTGAAACCCATTCAGAAGGAATATCGCGATTATAGAAACACTGTGGATAAGGTGAACGACCTTGGAATCGCCTATGATGGCTTGCTAAGGGAGCGCACAGAGAGTCCAACTCGTCGGCGTAGTAGCACCAGTCCTACAAAGAGACCTGGTACGTTTTCATTGTTTCTCTTGTCTCTCTTCTATCTGTCGTTGTCGTTCAATCGCTTGATAGACTTATCTTAACGTTTTGAGCCCTGGCACGCATTGAAATGACCGAATAGTTTCACTGTCACGCATTGAAATCATCGGAGTGTCATAACATACCACTCATTGAAGTCACCAGAGCGATACCTTGACATTTCACTCTTTCATCGCAATGTTGATATGCAATTTTTTAAGTGTTTCCTTCGTTAAGGAAACAGGAAATCACATTTGCTTTCATTTGTTTAACGCAACTGGCACCGGGCTCAAATACTTAACGATGCAGTTCACAATGCTAGCATATCACTCTATTATCATTCGCTCAACACACACCATATTTTTTTTTGTAGTACGCCGAATGTCACAAGACGGTCGCTCACCATCTCCCGCTAAATTGTATGCCGCTCAAAGTCCGGTCTCCCCAGGTGGTAGCAGCGGGTTCAGTAGTCGACGGTCCAGCCAAGATGGCTTTCATCTCGAGGATCTGTCGCCCGTTCAACAACAGCTTTCCGAGATCAACAATAGATACGGACTGCTTGGCGTCCGGTTGACTGATCGACAAACAGAACTGGACAACGTGAAGGACGAACTGAGGAGGCACGTGGACAACTTGAAGACCTTGTCTCAGTTCTTGGAGAAGGTAAGGATTAATTACAAGAAGAGAAGGGAACTAAAATTTTCACTTATTTTAACTTCATTTCATTTTAATCTGTTAGATTAAGCGGCAGATACCCAAAGAGAGCATGCCAATAAATAAAGAAGAGGCAGACAAGACAGCCAAGCAGATCAAGGCAGTCATCGAAGAGATGTACGAGAAACAATCGTTGCTAGATACCACGAGAACTCAAGTTCGTGACCTAGTCAGACGCAAGAAGGATGCCGATGGAGTGGACAGGCTGAACGACGAGATGGAAGACGTCTCCAGCAGGTGGAGGTCGTTCAGCGAACGTTGCAAGGATAGGATCAAGTTCCTGGATGACGTGAAAGATTTCTACGACACTTCAGAAGGTTTGGTTTCTTGGCTTGGATCAAAAGAAAGAATGCTGGGTGCTTTGGGTCCCATATCAGCCGATCCTAGAATGGTCGCCAGCCAAGTGCAACAGGTTCAGGTTTTGCGAGAAGAGTTCCGCACCCAGCAGCCTCAGTTGGATCACCTGGTGCAGGTCGGAGAGAACATTCTCGCTGTAATTGGTACCGATTCAGCGGATGGACAGAAGACCAGCGCAAAATTAAAATCAATCCTGGACAAGTGGTCCGATCAGCTGGCTAGACTCGATGAGAGAGCGCAGAGCTTGGGTGACGCGGTGGACACCAGCCGCGAGTTCGATGCCAGCCTGAACAGATTGCGCGATGCTCTGCAAGCTATTTCCGATAATCTCGACGAATTGACACTCGAGAAAGACCCTGAAGATCAGCTACGAAAGATCGAGAACCTTGAAAGACAGTTAGAGGGTCAAAGACCTCTCTTGGCCGACGCTGAAGCAGCTGGTGAACAGCTTTGCGAAGTTCTCAGCGATCCAGCTTCCAAATCCGAGATCCATGGAAAGGTGGCCGCGGTTGGTAAACTGTACACCAATCTGCAGAAGAAACTGGACCACAAGAAGGCTGAGATCGAGGGTAATCTTAGAGATGGAAGACAGTTCGAAGCATCTTGCACTAAAACGTTGGGATGGCTCGCCGATGAGCTCGGTAACATGTCTGAGAAGCTGTTGGTGTCCGCTGATCGGGACATCTTGCAGCAACAACTGGATAATCACGAGGTAAGTCGATCTACTCTTTAAGTGTTGGTGGATTATCCTGTACTCAGTTAATTCGATATTTTGATTTTTTTATTTGTTATGTTTCCTAGCCTATATACAGGAACGTGATGGGCAAAGAACACGAAGTGATCATGCTACTGAACAAAGGTCGCGACATGCTCACTCGGTCCCAGAAGGTCGAGAACAGGTCTCTGCAACGCGACTTGGACAAGATGCAGTCGCAGTGGGATCGTTTGAAGAAAGACATCCTCGATAGGCACACAAAGCTGCAAACTTGCGCCGAACACTGCAAGAAGTACTACAAAGCGCAGGACACGTTCTTGCCTTGGCTGAGACAAGCCGAAGACCGACTCGAATGCCTGAAACCAGCATCTTTCAAACGCAAAGACATCGAGAAACAGCTCAAGGAACTCTCCTCGTTCAGGAACGAGGTCTGGAAGCATTCTGGAGAATTCGAGAACAACAAAACGCTTGGCGAGACCTTCCTAGGAGCCTGCGACATCGACAAGCAGAACGTGAAGAATGAACTAGGTGCGATGAAGACCAGATGGGACAAGTTGAACAACGGTAAGCTTTATCATTTAGAATTCCAATGATTCCAAGCTGAAGCGGTCTCTATCACGCGAATCGATTTCTATTCCCAGAGCTGTTAACGAGAACGCAATCTCTGGAGGACACTGCGAGACACTTGATGGACTTCAACGAAAATCTACGAGACTTGCGACACGGCTTGCAAAGTTGCGAGGATAAGCTTACGTCTCATGACGCTCTTGGAGGAGCAGCTAAAGACCCGCGACTTCTCAACAGCCTAAGGGTTAGATAGTTTTCAATTAATTGGGAAAGTTTTAGCGATAGGTGAAGTTCATAGTGATATTCTGTTTCAGAGTTTAAAAGAAGAAGTTGAAAAGCTAAGCAAACCTTTGCAATGGGTAGAGCAGCGAGCGAACAACTTGGCGGGCAAAGCCAGGGAACAAGGAGTCGACGCGTCGCACCTATTGGATGAAGTGGAAAGCTTGCAGGATAGAAGATTCGACCTGCTAGAGAAATTGGACGGCAAGTGCCGCGAGCTGCATAATACAGCTGCAGCGTTGGCGCAGTTCAGCAGCTCCTTGGAGTACATCAGTTTTCAAGTTGCTAGTCTCGAGAAAGAATTGGATTCCATGAAAGCAGCGGGCAGAGAAATCAAGATAGTACAGTCTCAGATAGAAGAGACCAGCACGGTGATCACCAATTTGAACCATCTATTCACTACAATCAGCCGACTGGAAAGCCAGGAAGATAGATTGATGGATGACGGTTTCGCGGCAGCCAGAGAACAAGTTGCGAGTTTGAAACGACAAATTGGAAAGCTCGACGACCGTTCCCGCGATCGGCACGAGGAACTCACCTCGACTCTGGACAAGCTGCAAGAGTTCTACCAATCGCATTCTAACGTCATCACCGAAATTGATCAGGCGAATGAGCACTTCAGAAGGTTCAAACCCGTAGGATCCGAAGTGGAATCCATAAAGGCGCAGCAAGAGGACTTCAGACTTTTGAAACTTAACAAGATAGAACCGCTGGCCCGTGCCGTCGAGGACTGCAACGTTCTTGGCCAATCTTTGATCCAAACTGCCGGTCGCGATGTGAGCACCAGCAACCTTGAGAAAGACGTCGATAGGATGAACGAAAGATGGAATGATCTGAAGGATAGACTGAACGAACGCGACAGGAGACTGGACGTCGGGCTTCTTCAATCAGGAAAATTCCAGGAGGCCTTGGACGGTCTCGAGAAGTGGCTGACAGACACCGAGGAGATGGTGTCCAACCAGAAATCGCCTTCTTCCGATTACAAGGTGGTCAAGGCGCAGCTGCAGGAGCAGAAGTTCTTGAAGAAGATGCTGATGGATCGGCAGAATTCGATGTCGTCTTTGTACAACATGGGTCAGGAAGTTGCAGCCGGAGCAGACCCCAAAGAGAGAAAGATGATAGAGAAACAGTTGAAGGAACTGGTAGGAAGATTCGACAATTTGACGGAGAGCGCAGCCGAGAGGATGGAAGCTCTCGAACAAGCTATGGGAGTGGCGAAACAGTTCCAGGACAAACTGGTACCGTTGGCAATCTGGTTAGACAAAACCGAGAAGCGTGTCAGGGATATGGAGCTGGTGCCAACGGACGAGGAGAAGATTCAGCAACGAGTCACAGAGCACGACGCCCTTCACGAGGATATTCTCTCCAGGAAACCAGACTTCAGCGAGCTCACAGAAATCGCCAGTCAGCTGATGGCCCTGGTGGGCGAAGACGAAGCCGCTGCGCTCGCCGACAAACTTCAAGATGCGGCCGACAGGTACGCAGCTCTGGTAGAAAGATCAGAAGCTTTGGGAACCCTTCTGCAGAGATCAAGGCAAGGTTTGAGACACTTGGTTCTCAGCTACCAAGAGCTCCAAGCGTGGATGGAGGGCATGGAGATCAGGCTGTCCAAATACAGGGTCTTGGCGGTGCACACTGAGAAACTTCTCCAGCAGATGGAAGACCTTGCCGATTTAACCGAAGAAGTTTCCACGCGACAGACCGAAGTGGACAGCACAACGGACGCCGGTTTGGAGCTCATGAAGCACATCTCCAGCGACGAGGCTCTGCAACTGAAGGACAAACTGGACTCCTTGCAAAGACGATTCAACGACCTGGTGAGCCGAGGTTCGGATCTCTTGAAGCACGCTCAAGAGTCCCTCCCTCTGGTCCAACAGTTCCACGACAACCACAACAGACTGATGGACTGGATGCAGGCTGCGGAGTCGGCTCTCCAATCCGCGGAACCTCGCGAGGACGAAATAGTCAGACTCGAAATGGAAATATCAGAGTACAGACCGGTCCTGGACAAGATCAACGCAGTTGGTCCACAATTGTCCCAACTGTCACCTGGCGAGGGAGCTGCTACCATAGAGGGCCTGGTTACTAGGGACAACAGGAGATTCGACGCGATCGCTGAGCAGATCCAACGCAAGGCTGAGAGGATTCAACTGAGCAAACAGAGATCCCTAGAGGTCATTGGCGACATCGACGACCTGCTGGAATGGTTCCGCGAAGTGGACAATCAGCTGCGGGAAGCTGAGCCGCCGAGCAGCGAGCCGGAGATCATCCGAGTCCAGCTGAAGGAGCACAAGGCGCTGAACGATGATATATCCAGTCAGAAGGGACGCGTAAGGGACGTGATATCAACAGCCAAGAAAGTCATCCGTGAGAATGGTCAGCACGAAGACACGTCAACCATTAGAGAAAAGATGGAGGACCTCAGAGAAACCATGGAAATTGTGTCCGGCTTGTCAGCGGACAGACTGGGGGCTCTAGAACAAGCCTTGCCCTTGGCGGAGCACTTGCGCGACACTCACATAGGTTTGGTCAGCTGGTTAGAGGAAGCAGAGCATCAAGTAGCCATGCTGCCCATGCCAGCCTTGAGGCCTGACCTCATCGCAGCGCAGCAGGACAAGAACGAGCTGCTGATGCAGAGTATCAACGAGCACAAGCCGCTCGTCGAGAAGCTGAACAAGACCGGGGAGGCTCTGATCAAGCTCTGCAACGAGGAAGAGGGTATCAAGATCCAGGACATCCTAGAAGCAGATACAGCGAGGTATGCAGCTCTCAGGGCAGAACTGCGGAGCAGGCAACAGACTCTGGAGCAGGCTCTGCAGGAGTCCTCTCAGTTCTCCGACAAACTGGAGGGTATGCTGCGAGCTCTATCGTCAACGGCGGATCAAGTCAACGGTGCAGAGCCGATTAGCGCCCACCCTGGTCGCCTGCGCGATCAGATGGAAGAGAACACTGCTCTGGTCGACGAGTTAGCCCACAGATCGGAAGCTTACGCAGCTGTCAGGAGAGCAGCCGACGACGTGATCAGCAAGGCAGGCAACAGAGCTGACCCTGCCGTGAAGGACATTAAGCGGAAACTGGAGAAACTGAACAAACTATGGAGCGACGTTCAGAAAGCTACCACCGAACGAGGACACACTCTGGACGATGCTCTGGCAATCGCGGAGAAGTTCTGGTCCGAGTTGAACGGTGTGATGTCCACGCTGAGGGAACTTCAGGATGCTCTCTCGGGTCAGGCACCGCCGGCAGCTCAGCCGGGAGCTATTCAACAGCAGCAGGTCGCCCTGCAGGAGATCAGGCACGAGATAGATCAGACCAAACCCGACGTAGAACAGGTCCGTGCCTCTGGACACGAGTTGATGGGTCTTTGCGGTGAACCTGACAAGCCAGAGGTCAGGAAGCACATAGAGGACTTGGACCAGGCCTGGGACAACGTGACCGCGTTGTACGCCAGGCGCGAAGAGAACTTGATCGACGCCATGGAGAAGGCAATGGAGTTCCACGAAACGCTGCAGAATCTGCTCGAGTTCCTGGAGGAGGCGGAAGAGAAGTTCACCAGGATGGGACCGTTGGGCAGCGACATAGACGAAGTTAAGAAACAGATCAAACAGCTGGCCAATTTCAAGGCCGAAGTTGATCCGCACATGGTCAAGGTCGAGGCTCTGAACAGGTAACGATTCAACCGTGCTTCCGGTCCTCTATCTTGCTGTTCTCTTCTGTTTCGTCTCACGAACGCCCCTGTTCGGTGCCATCGTTAGAAAGAACGTGTCCCCTTTGTTGCATTCGTCTCCTAGGATGACCACCACGCGCGGATTTACCACACCCCCCCGATCCCTTATGTTTTCGAAACGATAACCGGGAATCGAAACGGTTGCTTGTCGGTGTTGCCTGAGACAGTTACGGGAATCGAACGAATATCCATAATTGTTGCGGATGCACCGGTCCTGAGCCGTTCTCGGTTTCGGTTGTCGTAAGTGTTTTCAATCCCTGACGGTAACTAATCGCGCCCAAGAGAACCAAAGGCCAGCGAGATTCTAATCCGAACTTTTGTTGTTTCCGCGCCGGTTCCTGAACGCAATAGGAGTCTGACCAGGCAAGTCAATCCTCTCTCTGTGTTGTAGCTGTAGTTAGAGCATGGCTTACGTTTATTTATTCTTTTTGGTCGTGTACATACATATATACCACCTGATCAACAAGGAAATACGTAATTTAATCCAATATCTAGCATTGACCCCGATGTGATGATCCGAGTGTGCCCTCCAACCCTCGACCTGTTAACCGGAAAAAGATCAATTAAATTGTTCTCTATGTTCTAGTTCCATTTATGTATTAATATACTCGAAAATTTGCGAATCTAATGTTATTATAATATTCTTGATTCGATCACCTGTAAGTGTATGGTAAAGCGAACTTGTTTTTATTTGGGTCGACGAATCCCCAACGATCGTAGAAGAATCTCGTCCGTACTGATGATTAAAATCGCCCGGTTAGCAGGTTAATTGTCGTTAATGCCCGTAACATTCGTAATGTGTACCTGATTTGCGGTCGAATAATTTTGAAACCTCTTAACTCTCTGTTGGTTGGAGTTCTAAAACAGTGATCCAGTCCCCGAAGTTGTCGTTGTATTTGGCTGCCTGTTTGCCTGGCTCGTGACGTGCCTGTTCTACTTACAATTATTATCATATCGTAGGTACTTATTATAGAGACGCGGGGACTCGAGAATGGATGCGAGTCACGGCGGTTCCTTCTCATAATCAGATTGGAATTCAAGGTGGAAAATAGTGGCAGCATCGTTGACTTATTTAATTAATTTCAAGTTTTAAAAGTACTTTGAAGCGCTATTTCCTTTAGAATGCAACTCTTAAATTTGTTAAATTCAATTCAATTCAATTCCGTTTGGTTTCCAGCCACGATTTTCTGCCACTTAACGGTTCTGTATTACCCTCTCCCGTAGATTCGTGGACCCTGTGTTTATTCCGACTAAACGTGGATTTAAACTTGCGGGTCTGAACAAGACAGTGCCCACTTATTCACAACCATTCCTCACGGTGTACGCTTAATCGTATCATTTCCCTCAGTATTCTACAGTATTCCTTCAATTTTGTAGGCAAGCTGCTGAACTGACAGAGCGTACATCCTCGGAACAAGCTGCAGCCATCAAGGAACCACTCGGCGCAGTGAACAAGAGATGGGACGGTTTGCTGAGAGGCGTGGTAGAGCGGCAACGACTCTTGGAGAACGCTTTGCTGCGCCTTGGACAGTTCCAACACGCCTTGGACGAGCTGCTCGTGTGGATAGAGAAGACAGACGACACCTTGGACAACCTGAAAGCAGTGGCCGGTGATCCTCAAGTGATAGAAGTTGAGTTGGCCAAGTTGAAGGTCTTGGTGAATGACATCCAAGCTCACCAGACCAGTGTGGATACGCTGAACGACGCAGGTAGACAATTGATAGAGGATGGCAAGGGAACAGCAGAAGCGTCGACCACAGCTGAGAAGTTAGGTACATTGAACCGTCGCTGGAGAGACTTGCTGCAACGAGCAGCTGACCGCCAAAGAGAACTGGAAGACGCTCTCAGGGAGGCTCAGTCCTTCACAGCTGAGATCCAGGATCTCCTGTCCTGGTTGGGCGACGTGGACAATACCATAGTAGCTTCGAAGCCTGTTGGAGGATTGCCAGAGACAGCTTCTGAACAACTGGAGCGCTTCATGGAGGTGTACAACGAGTTAGAACAGAATAGGCCTAAAGTGGAGACGGTTCTGCAGCAGGGACAGGAGTACCTGAAGCGTGCGGATACCTCCAGCGCCGGCGGACTGAACCACAACCTGAAGACGTTGAAACAACGCTGGGACAATGTAACCGCGCGTGCCAGCGACAAGAAGATCAAGCTGGAGATCGCGTTGAAGGAAGCTACAGAGTTCCATGACGCTCTACAGGCGTTCGTCGACTGGCTGACCAATGCCGAGAAGATTTTAACTAATCTGAAACCGGTATCCAGGGTGATGGAGACTATTCTTGGCCAAATAGAGGAGCACAAGACCTTCCAAAAAGATGTTGGAGTCCATCGCGAGACCATGTTGAACCTGGACAAGAAGGGCACTCACTTGAAGTACTTCTCGCAAAAGCAGGATGTGATTCTAATCAAGAATCTATTGATCAGCGTACAGCACAGGTGGGAGAGAGTAGTTTCTAAGTCAGCAGAGAGAACCAGGGCTCTGGATCACGGGTACAAGGAGGCCAGAGAGTTCCACGACGCCTGGTCCAACTTGATGAACTGGTTGGAAGAGACCGAAAGGACTCTGGATGAGGTTTCCGCGGATGGCAGTCTGGGAGGAAACGATCCGGAAAGAATCAAAGCGCGACTGAACAAACACCGTGAGTTGCAGAAAGCTCTAAGCGCGAAGCAAGGTACCTACGATGCCACCATGAAGAACGGCAAGTCGTTGAAGGACAAAGCACCGAAGACCGACGAGTTCGCGTTGAAGGAGCTGCTCAACGAGCTGAAGAACAAATGGACCACCGTTTGCGGCAAGTGCGTGGACAGGCAGAGGAAGCTCGAGGAAGCTTTGCTCTTCTCTGGTCAGTACAAGGACGCGATTCAGGCTCTGTTGGAGTGGCTGGTGAAGTCGGAGAAACAACTGGCTAACACCGGACCTCTTCACGGTGACCTGGACACTGTGGTGAACTTGGTGGAACAGCACAAGACCTTCGAGAAGGACCTCGAGTCCCGCGCGTCGCAGATGGAGTCCGTTATCAAGACCGGCCGTGAGCTTCTCGGCAAAGCAACGGTCGAAGATGCGTCCGCTATAGATTCCCAGTTGTCTGAATTGAACGACCTGTGGGAAACGGTGTCCAGATTATCCTCCGAGAAGACGGATCGCCTCGAAGAGGCGTTGAAGGAGGCAGAGCGTCTTCACAAAGCAGTAAACGTCCTCCTCGAGTGGCTGAGCGACGCCGAGATGAAGCTGAGATTCGCTGGACAGCTCCCCGAAGACGAACAGGAAAGCAGAAACCAGCTGATGGAGCATGAGAAGTTCTTGAGGGAATTGCGCACCAAGGAAATAGAGAAGGATCAGACGTTGGAACTTGCGCATGCCATTTTGGGCAAAGCTCATCCTGATGGTGTATTGGTTATCAAACACTGGATCACCATCATCCAGTCTAGATGGGATGAGGTGGCTACTTGGGCTATGCAGAGGAACCAGAGATTGGAGAACCATATGCGAGGACTTCAGGTAGGAACTATGATCAATGGGTATAGGGATATATTTTCAAGAGATATCGTTAGTTATTGTTCGTTACATCTTTTAGGATCTGGACAATCTTCTGGAGGAATTGCTGTCATGGTTGGAAGGTCTGGAGAATACTTTGAACGCTCTCGAAGCGGAACCTCTGCCAGACGACAAGCCCACGTTGGAGATGTTGATCGCTGATCATCGAGAATTCATGGAGAACACCAGCAGAAGGCAGAACGAGGTCGACCGCGTCTGCAAAGCCAGGCAAATCAAATCTGTGAAAGACACCAAGAAGATAACGAAGGCTAAGTCACCAGCGCCGACGTACGTTCACATTCACTGTCGTGCTTTTATTCCCGGTCCCGTTTCTCTTTTAGCAATGATTAATCGCGGAAGGCTCGCCGAGGATCGCGCTCATCACGAGAGTCATCGTTCCCTGTCCGAGGTAGACGAAATCCTTTGCGACCAACGACGCGTTTGTAACTCGCTTCTCGAGCTGTCCGATCTTGGCATTCGACAGTTGTTTATCATTTCTCCTATTCATTCCTGTAATTCGTTCCCGTTTGAGCTTTTGGCGTTCATGTTGAAACCGTTGGAGTGCATGTTGCGTTTGATGATCTCTAAACACTTTGTTTCCTTTTCTTTACTTTGCTGAGTGACAAATTTTTGTATTTCACATTTTTCTGATCCGATAAAGTCTGAGATTCCGATGAACGTCCAAGAGGGACGCCTGGAGAACGACAGCAAGGTGCGTTGCCTCGCGAGATTGGCCTCTTCGTCTGTTCTGTCCATTCGAATACGCTTCGTTCGAGAGTTTGATCAGTTTTCATCTATCTTGAGTAGAGTACCGACGACAAAATGGATTAAAAGATTTGTGCATCGTAGGCAGCATGGTAGCGTAAAGTTGGATATGAGGTTCTGAGGACACTCGGAGCGCGTCCGAAGCGTGTACTATGCGGGATATTTCACGAAACGGGTTATAAGGAGTTTTTCTTTATTAAGTAGCATTAACCGGTCAGTGATCAGACATCTCGTACTCCTTCGCAATATCTAGTTTTCTAATTATCGTACAGATACAAATTACTGAAGCAACTTAGGGAAGTTAAAGAAGTACAATTGAATAGAAATTGAATACATTTATTTATTGGTACAACAATGTGTACAGTTGAACATATAACAAACTCTTTGTAACGAACACAGTGAAAGATCCTACAGTAAGTAGGGAGGACAGGCCTATGTATCAGCAAGGAGTATATCAATTGAAAGAGACGTAGTTTGTATCCGAGGTCTGTTCTCCATCCGTTTTTCCCCCGTTGCTCACCACGTAAGGAAACACGAATCGATCGCCGAATTGGGACACGGTGATCGGTGCACGAAACCGCGGATTCCGTCGCGCGGTGTTTTGGTAGAAGTGTCGAGTGATGTGACGCATGTTCCTGTTTAGCCGAGCCAGCCCGGGCCGTGAGAGAACTCCAGATTCGTTGCCGCACATCGGCCCACGCTTCCCACCCAAAGGAAGGTTCGTCAAACCCAGCCTTTTAACTTCGACCATAGCTCTGCTTTCAGACCCCTTGACACATCTCTTCCTTTTATCTCATCTTTCTTTTGCAGTTCGACTGGTTGCGTTGGTTACACATTACGCTTACAATTTCCTCCAACTCTTCTTCTTCGTTTCTTTTCTTAGGATTCTTATTTCTTTACCGTCAATAAGTACAATATGCTCCTTTTCACTTGAGATTTGTTTGAGATTTTTTAACACACAGATTGCTCGTCAATAGTATTTAATGACTCTTTTCAACGTTCATTCGCTTTCCATTGCTTCTCATGCTTAGTTCACCGGATTCCTGTTTTTAACTGGGTGTAGATGTTGACGATCTTCTTTGGTCTACAGCAAAGGCGCCGAACCTGAGTTCCGCAGTCCGAGAGTTAAGCTTCTCTGGGACAGATGGAGACATGTCTGGATGTTGGCCTGGGAGAGACAACGTCGACTTCAAGACAAGTATAATTACATTCAGGAATTGGACCGCGTTGCTAACTTCAGCTGGGAGGATTGGCGTAAGAGGGTGAGTGGATCAAAGACTCCTAGTTGCATTTCTTTTGAAGTCCAGTATCGAACGGAGTTTATCCTTTTCAGTTCTTGAAATTCATGAACCACAAGAAATCCAGGCTGACCGATCTCTTCAGGAAGATGGACAAGAACAACGACGGTCTAATTCCTCGCGAGGACTTCATTCAAGGAATCATGAACACCAGTTAGTACCTTTTCATTACCATCTACCTTTCACTAGTATCGTACCTAATAAATGAACCAAAGATTCTATAGAATTTTAACGTTTTCAATCCTCTGAAATTCACTTTCTAGAATTCGAGACGTCACGGTTGGAAATGGGAGCAGTAGCGGACCTCTTCGATCGCCATGGCGAAGGATTGATCGACTGGAAGGAGTTCATCGCCGCGTTAAGACCGGACTGGGAAGAACGCAGGTCTTACAACGACACAGACAAGATCCACGACGAAGTGAAACGACTGGTGATGCTGTGTACTTGTCGCCAGAAGTTCCGAGTGTTCCAAGTCGGCGAAGGGAAATATAGGGTATTAAAGAGCACCCGAAACAACCGCTTCAATACTTTAGCTACCAGAAGCTCGCATTAACAGCCTCCTTATCATCGCTGAAAGATTGACATCCTTAGACATGAATCGTTGATGTTTAAAAGACTGTTAAATAACTTCTGATGGACAAAGTATCGATGAGAAAAATTCCAAACAATTTCTAATTATATTATCCGATTCGGCAGTTCGGTGACAGTCAGAAGCTGCGACTAGTTCGAATCCTACGATCCACCGTGATGGTGCGCGTCGGCGGTGGATGGGTAGCGCTGGACGAATTTTTGTTAAAGAATGATCCTTGCCGCGGTGAGTATTTCACCCGTCTGGTCTCTCTGTCTCTGTCTCTTTGTTCCGTTACCGTCGAGTATATCCGGGATCGATGAATATAGTGAAAACAATCTCGTCTCCGAATGCTACCGAGCAGAGACTCGCGAACGATCCCCTAAAGATTTCACCTACACCAAAAGGTTTACCCTGAACGCGACAAAGATCGATCGTTCCCTCATCCCTCCACTGTTCCCCATCCAAAGAGGCAGCTAAACGCGTTTATTATGTTTCTTTTCGCCGATTAGCGACGCGTGTGTGATTTGTTTTCTACCTTTTGACCGGTTTATTGTTTTTCTTGTTCTTTTTTCTCACAATGAGTGCGCCAATCCAATGACGCGTGTGCTTTTATTTTGTGTTACCTGTTTTCTTCGTGTTTTTGTGTTCCTTGCCGCTCCGTGAATTTATTAATAGAAAGCAATAACACGAATTCGATTCGCGAATAGAAACTCGCTGCCTCGGGTACACTCGTTCATTTGAAATAAATAAATCATCACGCGGCTCGCCACGTGTAATTACGCGTTCTCATCCATTCGTTCGAGTGTTCATTCTCATTTCTCACGTGCGTGTACGATCTCAGCTCCTGAGGTACGATTTTGTGAGCGTGACTAATATCATTAACACCCCTCCGACACACGTTTGTTAACACGCTGATCATTGATGATCGTCACGTTGGTCTCGCGTGGATCTTTTACCTGTAACTGCTAGGTTTCGTTTGGGCTTTTTTACTAATTTCCGGGGTAGCCGTTGCGTTTTACAGTTACCGCGGTACTTGTTTCTCTTAAAGTCTGCAGAGATCTCAAGTGTTCGAGATAATTATGTCATTAAACGTTTGACAAGATGTTCAGGATATTCAGTGGACTTTGTTATCGTCAGTTTTGTTGATTTTATTCGTCAGACATTTGTGAAACGCGACAGTTTCCTCGATTGTTAAAGCATATAGAATATTTTGGTACATTAGGAGACTCGTATTCGCTTATCATTAGCCTACTAACTAATTGGTTCATCCTCTGCCGATCCCTGGAACCTCCACGTAACACACTGTTCTCCATTCT